AATTAAAAAAATAATTATTGTCATTAATATATAAATGGGCACGTCGCTGTTCTGATAAACATACCTTCAACCTTGAGCCGAGATCTTTCGGACACTCTATTCTATAGGGAGAATAGGGGACTGCGTAGTCTATATATTATACGTCATTGGTTACAACACTACGCCAATTTGTAAACATTGACAGGTTAAGTTTTTGATATAATTTATAAAGATTTCCGGATTGGAAATATTTAACAGAATAATAAGTATATACAAAGAGAAAATGTCTTTTCAGATATCCTCAAGTTCATCCAGTAGAAGCTTTTTGGTCAGTATTGTGTCGATAAGTTTATGAAAACGCTTGGGAAGCCCAGAAGGCCCAATAATTACGGGCACGGATTTTTAGCGTGGACGTAAGCATAGTCAAAAGGAAGATGTGATGCATCTGGACCAAATTCAGTTTCGTTGAGCTCTCATCATTTCGTTGGGCCATCAATTCGTAGAATAATTTTCGTATTGTCAAAATAATACGAAAGTGGCAAAGAAGAATGCGGTGATTAGGAGTCAAAGAAGACACCCAAAGTACTGATCCCACACAAAAAATAATGTTTTATTTAAGAATGACTTTTTGTTTAGTATTTGTGTAAGTAACTTATGAAATTTGGATGACAAGAATATTTATTAATATGTTAAAAAGGATTACTATTCTAGGAATAAATAAGTAGTGACAATATTATGTCAATATGAAAATGGCAGTATTAACGATACATTGATTTTCTTAGTTGGTGTTTACTTAAATATGTACAACTTTCAATTGGTAGCTTAACTCTAATATAAGGGTACGAGCTCTATGAACCTGTAATTTATATCAATGGATTCTGTTTAAGTTAGTGAATAAGATACAATGAATTTTATTGGGTGCGTAACGTTAATTTTTATGTATTGTTCATTCAAAATAGATTTTATTTTTCAAACAATAACAGTGAATAAAGATAAAAGCCTCAGACAAGGAAAAACGAGGACAGGTAATACTCATTTAATAAATCTTCCAAAAGTGAAGCCAGTTTCGATGTGACCGCCATGTTTTGGTACCTGTATGTTCCCCATTAATACCTCTCGCAGAGTTATCAGGTCTACTGATTTTTCAGTAGATCTACTGATTTCAACTTCAATTTACTGATTTACTGAAACCATGGAGTCCATGACTGAAACACTATATCGATCTACTAAAAAATATGTAATGATAAAATTATTATTGTATTCAAAAAGTGATCATTATGACAGAGTTGAATTATAAATTTTGAAAAAAATCTTTTTATTGATATTATATCCATTATTCCCAATTTAGTGAAGAAATAAAATATGACTAAGCAACCTTTTTGGTGCCGGCTTAGGCTTCAGTCAATTCCATACGATTACGTGTCTCCTCCCTTTCCTTGTCTAAGACAAAAACCTTGTTATATGCTAAGGAAGCTAATTTTCATCAGTGTTGCCATAGTTGTATAAAATACGTTGTTTTGTGCAAAATAAAATTTAACAGATTTTAAATTATATAAATAAACATTTAATTGTTGCCTACTTTTAACAGAAAATGACTGCTGGGTTACCATAAATATAAAATCTGTACGTTATACACAAGTATTTGAATAAATTGACTCACTAGTTCTTATAAAATAAGTCGGTGATTACATAAAATTTAGTCAAATCTTTTCTTGCACAAAAGTTTATTATAAAACTTTACTTTAACAGATTTCCTGATAAGAATGAGATGGTATAGGTACGAATTCTTTGCCACTTCCGCAGCATTGTATCCACTTGCTTAAGATTACATCCCCTGTTTATTAAAGATATTTATATGAAACTTTTCAATCGTTCATAACTGGCAACTGGAACGTACATAAAATTTAACTTTTTGCGCATATCCGCCATATTGTTATATATTCGAGAATCAAAATTGTAATCAGTAAATTCTTAGAAGTAATAGTGACGTTTCAGCGCTATTGTAGTGTACGAAAATTTTTATAATAAATTACGACGAAGCTACTTGTATTAAAGAAATACCTATTTATAATATGTATCTATGTACGCTATGTTAATGTAGGAATATGATTATTTTTGACAGTTGTTCTCCTATCAAAGTAAACAGGACATAATTCACATACACATTGTAAATATTTTACATTTTTTACACAGTAGTTTTTTTCGACAGCGAAGTCAGGAAGTCGTAAAATTTTATTAAATCTTTCGGTGTGAGATAAAATTCTGAAATTGTTCTAATATTTCATCAGATTATAAAAGCAGTGAACACATATTTTAGTGTTGTGAGAAATATGAAAGGCGAGAGCAGTCAAAGTAAACGTAGAACTGTATACTAATTCTAAAAAAATTTAAACAAAGTAAAGGCAAATTGGGTAATGTATCTCTTGAAAACATTGAAACCAGAGGTAGAAAACGCATCTAGCTTGAAGATGACACCAAATATGCTATTCGAAGCAAATTCCACGCTTTCATTTTTCGGAATGACATGCCAACCTTAAAGAAAGTTGAAGTCGAAATAAATTTCGATGATTCAATACCTAAAATATCACGACGTATTTTATTACGAACATTAGGGCAAATGAACATCAAATATATGAAAAGAAGCAGGAATAGTGTACTTATAAGTTCATGCACAAGCCTTCATTGAAGGGCTTTCAACATGTTTAAAAACAACCACTAGTGGGTAACTGACAGAGGCTCATAATAATAGATATAAGCAGAAATTCGGTTTTTTTTTGGACAACAGTGGTTACTATTCGAATCCAAGAAAAAAAAAGGATTACCATGAGGAAATGGGCGCTCAAATATTCGAAGGTTGATTTTCGAAGATTCTAATTATGTCGTTATAATGGACAATGCGCCATACCACAGTCGGCGTCGAAGGTTGGAGCAAACACCAATAACTGATTGACGAAAAGGTGACAGCATCAACTGGTTTTCTCAAAAAATATACCATTCGACGAAATGTTGAAAGTACAATTATTAAATCTTGCTAGGATACATATATCCAACTTCAAGAAATATGCTGTCGACGAAATGGCTCGTGAAAACAATATACTTAATTGTACGTCGCCTTCCTCCTTATCATTATGAGCTAAACCTTATCGAAATTATATGGGCTCACATAAAAAACAAGGGGCAAGAGAAAACTTGAGTTTTAAAGTGGAGGTGAAAAGCTTGTTAGCTACTGCCATAAAACAGTCACACCTGAGTTTAAAAAAAAATTGTATAAGGCCCATTATAAAAGAAGATATAATGTTGGATTTAGACACAAGAGTGGATATTTCGGTTGAACCAATAATTATGAATGTAAATAGTAGTGATCGACTAGCTATTCATCATTCGACGAGTTGTCTTCATACGATGATTAATATTTTGACTTCCTGTGGAGGTCAAACTACTTATCAAGATTACTTTCGTATACAAGTACGTTTATTTTGTTAACATATTTTTCAAACTAAAATACGTTTTCTCTAACTCCAATATACTTTGCTCTTGTTTTAAAGTTACATATGTTTCACATCATATAGAATATATTAAGATTGATTTTTAAAATTCACTGCAACAGTGTGAACGATACGGTACTGAATGCTCAAACTACGAAATCAATGAGCAATTTATCTCTCTCTATCTTATGGCAATGTTGATCTACCATTACTTTCTACTGGTCCTAAGAACACGACGTTGTCATTTTATTAAATACCTTAACGATGTGAGATGTAAAGAATGATCATTAATCGATGATAATTTTGCTGCATGTGAATGATTAAAATATACATTGCTAGAATATCTATCATCATAAACTGGTAACGATGTCATCACTTTATCACATTTCTGAGAATCTACTGCCTACAAATTTGATTCTCAACTATAGATGTATAAATTTTGAAAATTTTAAAGATTATGTATTTTTGCATACAATTTTCATGATTAAAATAATTGGGTATTTTAGTTGGCTTTTCAAGTAAAAATTTTAGATACTATAATACTTTGTTTGAAGCTTTTATTTAATGTAATTTTTTACCGTTTTTACTACTTTTAAACCATTAAAATTTGATAAAGTTTTTTTTGACCCATAAAAATTTCGCTTTTTTAAGGGGTACCCTCTTACTAGCTAATTACCATATTATTTCTTCTTAAACTTCTATTACATGTCTGTTCTGAGTTGTTTTAGAATTTTTTTTTGTGAAATATGTAATTAATTACTCTTTAACAGTATTTTAGATTTATTTATACAGAGAGTTGCAATTAGACATTATAGAGAAACTTAACGTAAGTAATATCTGAAAATTTAGGATGGAGAGTTTTAGATATATCAAATATTAATCTACAATATTCTCCTACCACATCTGACTACACCGGAAGTTGACTGACAGTCAAGGATATTGATCAGCAATAGTTTTTATATATTGTGCTTGATTATGCATCAAAACATCTTGTTACATGGAAGTAAGAGAGATTATATGATCTCACAAAATTTATTTCTGTTGTTTGATTTCTAAGCTTATTGAGTAGTTTTGACATCACTAAACACAATAATCTCAATAAGATTGTACCGTTAGAAATAATAAAAGTATTTATATTTTTCTTGTCATTTTCATGCCATTGAATTTATTTATAATAAAATTTTGATCCATTAATAATCCCAATCTTCAACATTCTTTGCTGAAAATTTAAAAAGTTAGTAAAAAACCTGAAGTCTACAAGACTTTAAATACAAATGGCCATTAGTTTTATATTTCATAATTTACGAACAAAAAACTATAAAACAACTCAACATTTTCATATTTTTTCCATTTTTCTACAGTTTTTACTATTTCGAAAAAACTGACATGCAATAAACGTCATAGAAAAAACTTAGGCTACAACTATTTTATCTAAACAATCTTTCGTTCTTAACCATTATGATTTATAAAAATAATATCTTCGATACATAATAACAGATCTTACTTCGATGTATTTAAACTTCAACTTCCTTTCATTCACCTTCTGTATTTACTCTTAGCGTAAGGTTTTTGATACCTATCTCGTTGTCTTACATATCTATGATTGGTGGTACTAGTATTTACACTGGTGGCACCATTTTGTGTTTTTTGCTGGTACTGGGAAATAACAGGAGGCTTGCTTGCTACAGTTTCATTAATTTTCAACTCATCTTCCCTCTTTTTTTCCATCATCTTCAATTTAGCTTCAATTGCTTGAATTTGTGAGGTTCTGTCAGTTTTTTGCTCTGCTTTAGACATTGCCAATGCTGGTATCACAAGGTCATCTTTAGGTTTATCTGGTTCCTCCTTAAAATTATTATTTCTATTAAAGAATGCTTGGTTATAACAAAATAAATGATTAACAATACTGTTGTATTTAAAACATAAAAATATATCGCCAAGCCATAATGCAGTAAAAATTCATACAAGTATTTACTTACATTATTAACACTATGAGCCCAAGTAACAGTGATATTCTTTTGCCCAACAAGTAGATTATGAAGGACCTCTTTTGCTAATACAGCATCTGCTTGATTCTTGTAGGTGACAAAAGAGTAACCTCTTGGCTGTCCTGCTAGAGGGCCATTTCGATGTAGAATTAGGTCAAATTTTTCAATGGCACCATATTTTTGCACCAGTTTTAAAAGTTGATACCAATAAACAAAAAACAATGCATAAGTTGAAATAATATTTAAATACCCTAAATTATAAATCAATTCTTAGCTTTTTGTATGAAGCCAAAAATTAACATCACTATCTTAATAATATTACTTCATAAGGTCCAGAGCCCACAGCACAACTGATCTAAAACTATGGTCTGAAACTGATTGCTCTTTTAACGATTTTGTGATCGATCTTAACAGCATAAAATCACAGGAATTAGTCCAGAAGGTGATGTAATGGTAACTGGTTTCCAATAAGTCTAAAAACGATTTTGTAGACCTTCCTCCTATGGTCCCAGTTGTGTTGTAAGTTTTTGTAGCACACTATTATATAAATAATTGGTAAACATTTTAGGATATAAAAATTTTAAGATTAGTCATATTATATGGAAATTAAAGACTAGTCTAAAAATAGAAGAATAGTAGAATCTTATGTGTATCTTGGCACCAACTTAAATGCAAAATGGGAACAGGCCACAGAAATTAAGGCGAGAATAGAACGAGCTAGAGCAGCATTTAGCAATATGAAAAAGCTGCTGATAAGCAAGGATTTGTCTCTTCCCCTAAAACTATGTCTAGTTAAATGCTACATTTTTCCAATCTTACTGTATGGTGTGGAGGCCTGGATGCTGACGGAGACGCTCACAAGAAAACTAGAAGCATTCAAAATGTGGGTGTACCGACGCATTCTTCGTATATCCTGGACCGAACATGTCACCAACATAGAGGTACTCCAAAGAATCGGAAAGGAGAAAGAAATCGTGAATACAATTAAACAAAGAAAGCTTGAATATCTAGGCCACATATTGAGACACGATAAGTACCGTTTGCTGCAATTGATTGCCCAGGGAAAAACAGACAGTAAGCGAGGGCCAGGCAGGAGAAGACACTCGTGGCTCCAAAATCTGCGGAAGCGGTTCGGGCTCACATCGGTCGAACTATTCAGAAGCGCCGCAAACAAGATCAGAATTGCCATGTTAATAGCCAACGTTCGCAACGGACAGGGCAGTTGAAGAAGAAGTCTAAAAATCTTTTAAATTATTTTGAATATGATAAAAAATAGATATTTTTATTTTAATTTTGTATACACATTAAAATTGACAGGTAGAGATAAGTAAAAATGAAGATGCTATTGCAAAAAATATTAATTTTTTGATTTTTCAGAATAACGAATATCTTTTTCACATTGGAAATTTAACGAAAAACCATTTTAAAGGCAAATTTTTAAAATTGGTCTTTCTTATACCCAGCATTTTGCCCCATTTAACATTGTATTATAAGCTGATAACATTTTATTATAACTCAGCTGATATAAAACCAGTTGCTTCGTGTTTATTTAGGTTTTAAAGTGGTTGTAAACCGCTTGCAGATGAAACTAGTTTTCAACTGTTATTTTAAAGCATTTGTGTCATGGGTGCTGGACCTTACAGTAATATTCATATTATTTGTAACATATAAACCGTGATAATAAAAACAAGGACAATAATACTATTATATAATATAAATAAATAAAACACTAAAAACTAGAAAATTAAGACCATTGATGCATTGTATATAGAAAGAATCTATTAGTAGACAAAATGCAGGATCCAAGAGATACTTAAAACAAAAATGGTACACCAAAAATGGGAAGAACAGAATGCAGAGTATGAAAAGGCACTTCAAAGAAGAATTAGTAATCAATCATACAATATGAGCATTAATTAAAGACAACAAAGGAAAAGTTGAAGATTCAACAGATGGTTTAAAAATATGTTGTTTGATATAGAAAATGAGAAATTAAAAATATAAACACATTTAGGTTATAATATAGTGTTCCTATTGTTCCCAATGAATCAAATAAATATGAAACCAATAAGTTCAGAAGGCACCCCTTTCATTTTTTACCTAACTTTTAAAACACAGATTAATAAATGTGCTAAAATTATGACAGAAGTTAACACTGGAGTTAAAACAATAAGAAAACTTACTCAGTAACCCTAGGGTCTAAATTTCCAATCCATAATCTTCTGTCTTCAGTAGCCATGCCTGTGTTTACTACGTTATCCTTGTCCATTTCTTCAGATTACGTGTTAGGTTAGGTATAGGTATTCACAACATTTTTTCCTGAGAATCTATTGAAACGATTTATTTTTAACTTCTGCTAAATTTAAATTCAAAATGCAATAACAAAGTGATTTATTTATTTTCTGTCAGTCACATCAAATTCTTCTTCCAGTCTTTATGTTTTTGCTGTCAGTATCAGTGGTCTCAATTATTGAATTCAACTAGCCAACGTATGTTTTATTACTATTCTCCAGGCTTAGATTGTAATGTAAACTTGTGTAAAATAAATATACGAAGCCGAAGCTGGATAACATCTGTTACATAAACATACAGTGGGAATTCTTATTCAATATAATATTTTTTTCCGATTACAATTTTTAATACACAACAAAACTTTTAGTTTCTTTTTATGTGATAGTGATTGTTGGGATTTCAAAATTAACATTTTAATGTTTAACTAATAGGACAAGAAGAGCAAAAAAAAAATTATGATTCTACACACTTAGAGTGAAGAAAATGAGAAAGAAGGAATAATAAGTGATGGATGTGATGAAGTCAATATGAAAATACAGTGAAGAACAATGGAAATGTGAAATCTCTTTCACACTGCAACTCTTGTAAGAAATCAGTCAGATAAGAGGAGAAAAAGAAAAGGCTAAGAGTGTAAACTATTCCATATATTACGGAAACGTTTCGTTTTGTGTTTAGAAAACAGCATCAGTATATAAAAAACAAAATTAAACACATACTATATCTCTCTCTTCAATCCTGACCCCCCAGGGGGAGTGTAGTGGTCGACGTGATGTCGTGTATTGTCCGTCTCCAGAGATCTCTGTCTCTGGTCATTTCTTTTAATTCATGCATAGGTCTTTGGCATATTCCTGTAATTTGATCTATCCATCTTGTTGGGGATCTTCCTCGTGTTCTTCGCTCTTCTACCTTTCCTTGTATTATGAGTCTTTCCATGTTTTCTGTGTTTGCTCTACATACTATATAACAGCATCATAAAAAAGTATAACATAAAAAATATAGCAGAAAGGTGTGACCGCTGAAAGAAAGAACTATTAAAACCTTAGATGCAACCGAAATGTTGTATAAATTAGTATAATTACAGAAGCGGCTGAGACAGTGTGCCTCAAAGATAAAGATTAAAACATTAAAACAAGAATATTCGAAAGGAAAAACCTTAGAAGATTTATGGGAACAATTAAAATGGACAACGGAGAAATGAAAAGAAGAATGGACCATAAAATAAGAGACATTATGTAGGGAGAAGATGTAGTTAGATGGCTGGGACACATAGAGAGAAGGAAAAATTACATACTGGTTAGGAAGGTTATCAGATGGAAGCCAGAAACTGAAAGACCAAAGAAAGACCTAGAGAGAGATGAGAGAAACAGGCCATGAGATATCAAAATCCTGAAAGTCAGAAAAACTAACGGACCCTTTTGATAACCTTCAAGATCTCTTTACCTCCATTTCACCTTTAGATTTTTTTTGTATGGAATTATTGAAAAGGAATACTTTAAAAACTAAAATTTCGAGGTTTACATTTAGGTCTGCCAGATGCAAACTTTGTATTTACCTTGTAAGTCAAACTGAGTAAATTGCAAAACACTGCTATATTTTGTAAAAAGCCTTAGATTTGATAAATGGCACTTTTTATAATAGATACATGCTTTATTAGGTAAAATATAATGAGTTTTTTCTTAGAGTTATTAAGTTATTTTGTGTTTGCTAGGAAAGAAATAAAAATTTTAAAATACCGAGTTTTGCAAGTGAACTACCTATGTAAATACAGATTTATGTAACTAACATTTGCAAATACATGATAATATTCAACCATTAACGATATTAGGTAGTGGTTCTTGAATTAGTCTGTTTTCCAAAAAGTGTGTTACGAATAGTGCAGAAAGTATGTGGAAGTAAACTTTTAGAAAAGAAATCTTTTCCCTGTTCGTTATAGACTTGCAGAACCCTATGTCAGAACGATAAAGTATTTCCCGCGTTACCGTGGCCATATATGATCTTGGTCCTTAGAAAATATAAATATTTTCGATGTATTAGATTTAAAATGCCACTGGGAAGGTTTTTCAACTACAACGTCACTAGTCTTACTCCAGTCTGATATCTTCCACTCTTTACTACGTCTCAGCACCTTTGAGTGTTTTCCAATTATGTCATCATATTCTTTTCTGTTTATTACAACGTTCTTCTTTTTAATCTCCCTTTCTATCATACCGAAAATCCTATCTGGTGGCAAAAATTAATGACCAACAACAGGAACAACAGTGGATTATCATAGACATCACCGTGCTATTTTTGTTCTGTCCACCACATCCATCTGCAAATAGGTGAACTTTTTCAATTTGATTTTTGTGAGATATCATGTACAGCAGAGACAACAGCATTTTGAATCTTTTGGATGTTCATACTCCAGCCACACATATGACGATTTGCAGAAGAAAGATGGGATTTCGAATTTCCAGCCACGTTGGTCGGGAAGCTTTGGTAAGGAAAGATTTTTTTGACAATCTAAAGAAAATATTTAGATATAATGATTTGATTTGTTTTTTAACAAAGAATAAAAGGTTTTATAATATAGCTCTTAACGTATGAAATATTCTCATCATCATCATGTAGCTCTACAACTCTGGGTGGGTTTTGGCTGACTGTACAACTTTTTTCCAATTTGTTCGGTCTTCCATCAACCTAGACTCAAATAGAATGTTCATTTTCCGGAGATCTGCTTGGATGTTATCTCTCGATCGCATTCTGGGACATCCGAGTGGTCTTTTGGTCTGACGATCGATTTATAGATTTTGATCTTTGAACTTCTTGTAAGATTTTTTGATTTTATGAGCTTATCCAGTACGAATAGACAGAGGTTTGCGATTGGATTCTGTCTTTTATTTCTTCAGTAACATCGTTGTCAGCTGTAACTACGGCCCCCAGATACTTAAAACGTTGTACTCTTTCAAAATTGAAGGTGTTGACCGTCACATTTTGTCTTATTCTGTCTCTTCATGTCGTTCTATTTATACACATATATTTCGTCTTCTCTTCATTAATCTTCAGCCCTACTTCACTTGTTGCTCCTTCCACCTTGTTGAAGATGTCTTTAGTGGATAGGATGGAGTCTCCAACGAGATCTATGTCATCTGCATATGCGAGTAACTGCTTGCGACCTTGAACCAATAGCAATTCTGTTTTTATTTCGGCCGCCCTCATGGCTTTCTCTAATACAAGGTTAAAAAGTAGTGGAGACAACGCATCACCCTGTTTAAGTCCACTGTTGATTTCAAAGCTGCCAGACAGTTTATTATTTACACGTACTTTAGATATTCCACTCTCCATACAGACTTTGGTTATCCGAATGAGTTTCTTCGGTATTGAGAACTCCGCCATGGAATTCCATACTTGGCTTCTTTCTACGCTATCACATGCCTGTCGAAAGTCTATGAAAAGATTGTGTATGGGTCTGTTATACTCCCATCCCTTTTTTAGAAGTTGTTTCAGCGTGAATAGTTGATCTATTGTTGATCTGTTTGCCCTAAAACCGGCTTGATATTCGCCTAGGACATTTTCAGCATAAGGGGTTAGTATACTAAGAATGATGTTTGAGAGGGTTTTATATGCCGTGTTTAGGAGTGAAATTCCTCTATAATTCGCGCATTTTGTTTTGTCCTCTTTTTTGTGGGTGAGCACTATTACGTTTTCCTTCCATCGTGCTGGTATCCTTTCTTCTAACCATACGTGCGTTATTAGCTGGTGGATTTGGCGATGTAGTGCGTCTCCTCCATATTTCAGAAGTTTTGCTGGTATCTCGTCTGTACCCGCCGCTTTGTGATTTTTCAGCTTATTTAAGGCCTTTTGGGTTTCTTCAAAGAAGGGATTTTTGACGGGCATGACCGTTGTGATATAGATCTCTTCTTTTGTGCTGTTATTCCTGTATGATGTTTAGGAGGTCCCTAAATACTCTTTCCATTCTTCAGTTACTTCTTTACCGTCGATTATCATACGGCCTTGATTGTCTCTCAGTGTATGGATGGAATTGGTTCTATGTCCTCTTTTCTTAGAGGAAATTGCTTTATAGAATTTTCTGGAGCCTAGTTTGGTCCGGTCTCTCTCCTTAGCTTCATATTTTTGTTGTTCTCTGATCGGATATCACCTTTAACTTTTCTTCTTCTGAATTTTCTCAAAATTTACTTCGTTCTGAGACCGAATGATATGTTATGTTATGTTATGGTGTTTATTAACGTATGTTCTGAAATGTGATAACTTTAACGAATGATGTGGATAACGGTAACAGGACATAGTGTAAAGCTTCGTTGAATTCAGAGCATATGGTAAATAAAATCTAGTTGATCGTTCTCTATTACAGTGACTCTCTGCACCATTCAAACGCCTCATAACTGTTTGGATAGATAATTTTATTGGATCAAATCTACCTTTTGTTGTATCTCCCCCTTTTATCTCCTTTTTGGTATTTCACTCCAGATAACAAACCTTCTTACAATACGCTCTATTCTTTTAGAACTTAAATAAGATGGAGAATGGGACAACAGAGAGAGATGGAAACGGTTGAGCGAGAGAAGGCAGTGAATACTGTAGAATCTCTGAATATATATATATATATATATATATATATATATATATATATATATATATATATATATATATATATATATATATATAATAAATTATTCTAAGAAATACTCTCCTGCATACTTTTAAAACTCCATCCTCTACCGTAGGAATAAAATATTTAATTGAAATTCCATGTAGGATTGTACTTAATCTCTTGGACTTTTGACCTTCAGAAATTTCAACAAAAACATTTCTTTTTTTATTTTGTCAGTGGTTGAATACATATTATGGAACCGCTGAATAAGTCGCATCTTTAAATCCTTATAACAATACACTTTCTTTGTAAGATTACAGATGGGAACCCCGGGTAAATCCTTGGGTTTATGCCTAAAAATATTGACAATAGGTAAGTCCCGAACC